ATAATTGAATCTTTGTTATATTATAAATTTTAATAAAACACAATATTTTCACTTCAAGCTCTGTTTTAGAAAAGAAAAACTATCAATGTTCGCTAACTACGCCTGCACTTACAAACCATATGTCGTTTCCAGATAGCATTGATACCACACGTAATTGTATGTGTTGTTATCTATCTATCTGCGTAGCGTCTTATGTCTTACAGTTATTAGTTGAATTTTCAAAGCATACAACTAGAATTTCCATTACATTGTAGTTTCTACATTTTTTAGTTTGTATGGCCAAACTGATCAACACAGATAAACATTAAAGATTTAAAAAAAGCATGAATAATTATATGATAAAATCCTACTGCAACATAATCTGATCTTAAAATTTTTATTATAAACTCTAATTGACTTAACGTAAATAAAGCAATAATTTTTAAAAAATAGGTTTCTAAATTGGCCTGATATAATTAGCTTTATATCCAGATATAAATACCGTTAATCTAACAATAATAAATAAATACTTTATGATATCATTATCATAAAACATTGTATTCAATTGAATTAAGAAATGTAGTCCTGTAGTTAGCAAAGTTGAATACTAATTTTATTGCAATAGGTAGTCATGAAAATAGGTAGTCTTTCAGTAATTATTGCCAAAATTAATATAACACTGAATATAAACATTAATATAAACACAAAATAATAGTATTTTTTTATTTAATACTAATTTTTGTGTATATAAATATTATTAAAAAATTTCTGTCGCTGGTTTCATTGTTTTTCATTTCAGCTCTTCTTATATTCTATACTCTCTGACAATAATCATTAATATTCGTTAATTTAATTAGCAGAATTGATAACATACCCTATTCAATTTAATGAAAACACAAGGAGCCGAATTATTGAAGCCGTATTGTGCAGCAGGAGAACAGGGACCCCAATTGTTCACCTCGACTGCACAAACATGCCCAGGCTTCACTGGTATATCGTAATTACACATCTGTTGATTTCTGCCACCGTTTGGTAACGCTGTCGAGTTAATATACTCTGCCAAGAATCAATATTATAGGCGTTAAAGCGATGTTGTGTTCTGTCATAATTAGTAATAGAAGGATCTATTCAGTGTATCGTGAATATTTATGTTGCTTCACATTCAAAAATGTTTTAAAGGATTTTCTGGATTCTCAACTTCGAATCAATATTTTCTGTTTTTTGTATAGTGAGTCTACGATTTTTTTCTATTTTTCGTATGTATTTTTTGGAAAAATCATGTTTGGAAAGCATGTAAATATTTAATTTTTTAATAATTTAACGCCCAAACAATATTACCTACTTCACACGAATTAAATTAAAATAAAAATTTCAATATATTATCACAGTCCACTACACATTTGCGTTTTTTTTTTTGACGTGTAGCAATGCTATGCGTTGCCGCAATTGCAGCTTGAAATATTATAGTATAAATTAGGATGCGCATTTGCTTGCAACGTCATTGGAGCGCCGCATGTTCATGCTGCGCGTGACGTTTAATTTTTTGCGTCTCCACATGTTAAAAGACGCATATGTGCAGTCGGCCTTAAATTTCGCAATGACGTCGTGTCACGTTAATGGTGACGACACGTCAATTTCGATATCTCGTATCTATCTATGTTAATACTTGAAAAGAAACTAATAGGTATGTAATATGAAAATAATAAGAAACGAGTAGTAGGTAGGTGCAATTTAAAACAGCAGAAAATTATCAAAAAGATATAGATGTCTCTAAGTGACTCTTATTTCGTATTCTGTAAACAGATACAGAATGTTTTTTATTTTGTACGAAAATTCGCGATCTATTAATAAGACGTATTCTTTTACCTTCCAAAAATTTGTCCAACAAGCCTGTCCACTTCTGTAGCGATGCTGGATCCGACGAACTGTACGAAATCAACGATTTCTCATCTGTATTGTCTGAGATTGGTCGGAAACCTAGACCTGTTTACATAAAATAAAATGAAATGGTTATAAATACAAGTAAAAATTGACGAAGATATTCATTTCAGCACATAAGAATATTGTATTTTCTCGATTTTTTTCTTCTTCTCTGTTTTCGCAAAGAACACCTTTAAAGTCTGACAGTAGTAGACTACGGATTTTATGCATTTGTGAAGAAAATGAATGGGCCAAATACAAAGCTATAAAGACATTAGAAGAATTTTAAGGACATTGTTACATTGATTTTAACTTAATACACACATAATTGGACAATTTTATTTTGCATAGTGATCCGCAGTCTACTGAAAATAAGAAAGTATTTCAGCAGGTGCAGGAAAAATGTGCTTATAGTCTGTTCACAGTAAACAAAACCTCGAGACCGAAGCTATTCTCGAACACAGCTTGTAGGAATATATTTTTAACTTGTTCCATTTAGTTCTTTAGCGTTAACCTCATGATTGTTCGTTGTATCAGTTTCGTTTGATTCACTGCCATGGTTTAAGGTTCAACGATCGATTAATTTATTTTATTTATTCGGAGTCGAATTTGTTAAAGATCTAGAAATCGTTTTATTCATTGAACTTCCACTCGACAATTATTTGTTTACAGAAAATGATTGAATCTGTATAAAATTGAAAATTCTAAATATATACAATATCATAATGTGTAGGTGTGAAGTACTTTTAATTCATAATTAATTTGTTCTTCCAATACTGTTGCAAACATATCTCTTTGCCACAATACATTCGATTTAATCTAGGAACCAATACAAATTCGAATATATGAAAACTTCCTATTATAGTCAATATTGTATAAAATTGGCTTCAAATATTCGCGTTCTGGCATTTACGATAATATATTTAATTATATTAGTATGTTCCTTTATCGACAACGAACATAAAAGTTTACATAACATTTAATACATAATATTTAAAAAATCCTCTCTTATATAGAATGTACTTACTAATTAATGATTTTTGCTATATAGCATAATACAGCAGAAAGGCCAGCATGGTGAAGAAATATAAAAATTTAATCTCATTAACACTACTATTAAATTATACCGATATATCAGAGTTTATAAAAACTTCATTACCAACCAAACTGAATTATACAAAATTTTGTAACAATTCGAAGCATTTTCCATGATTTTTGTCTCTTCAATGTTTGTTTAATTGGAGGTGTTCCCAAAGGCTCATTATCACAAGTATGAATATGCTGTGCAATTGTATTATATTATTTTAAGCTAATTTTCGAAAATATTCACGAAATAACTCCGAGAACTTAATAATT